TTTTAATCTTAAGTTGTAAGTATTGAAATATTCATTTTGTTTACATATAATAATTAAAATAAATTTACAGTTTTCTCCTGAAGAAGTCACAAAATCGTGACGAAATATTGAGAAATAACAAATAGAGTTTTATTTCACACAGACCAATTGCTGATACTACAAATAATATGTATATATATATATATATATATATATATATATATATATATATTGATATATATATATATATATATATATATATATATATATATATATATATATTATATATATATATATATATATATATATATATATATATATATATATATATATATATATCACATTAATAATTTAAGCATTTTCGTGTAGTCAATTTTATTTTGGTTCTTGTTGTTGATTTTTTACTTTGTGATTTCTGATAACGTGGGTTTCGGTTTATTTTTAGATATTTCTATTTCTTACAATATATCTTGAGTGTATCGACCATCATGTGGGTCAAAGGAAAGTATTTTATTTTCAATCGCCCTTAAAGCATCTCCTTCAAAATACTTGGCGGTTATTTTCTATTGACTACCTGAAGTTGCGTTTTACAAAAAGTTTAGAAATTTTTCCAGGTTAAAAGAAGTAACATTTTTATCTGTTATTATGTTTTCAAGAAGGACTGAAATTCCGCGGTTTTTTTATAATGTTAAACTCCCTTTATTATCATTTAAGAACAAAAAAATGATGTAAGGTCGTAGGGGCTCTAAAAACGACAAAAAAATATTTTATGAAAACAGGTTTGTTTAATATTATTGGCATCAGAAATATATTTTTAGCATACAAAATATAATAATGTTGCCCGAACCCTGGAGTTATAGGAAAAAACACATACAAAGGTTACACTATTACTACAAAGATTTTAATTTAAATAACTTTTATGTCATACTAGTTTATTATTGTGTTTTTATTATTTAGTTACCAATTACGTAATAGTGTACTTTATGGCCCGCACGGGCGTAAAGATACAAACAAAAGGAAACTTATTACAAACATCTTTATTTAATAACATTTCAAACTGGCAATGTTAATATTCTTATTTACGATTAAACTCTTCTTTACCATTGAATATTTGGTCCACAGGGAACTCGGAAAAAATATTTTGGCAAGATCGGCAAATATACAAGTAGCACAGTTTCACTAATGTGTTCTACATGGTTTTCTGTCATCCAGTGCTGTAATTTTTCATATTCCTTATCGCAGGCATCTCTTAACTTATGTGTTAGTAATTTTTGCGTTGCTTTTTCCGCATAAAAATATTTTGCATTTTCACGGTTTTAGTTTGACCTGTTTGACAGCATTTCCGTATTGTAGCAGCATAACACGGACGATAGGATGTCTACTAGTAAATATATTGTCAAAATGAAATCAAATTTTTGGATTTTTAAGAATATATTTATTTGTAGATGCAATAACGAACTAGTATAACATAAAAGTTTGTATGCACCGCGAGTATTCATAGATGTACATACCCTCAGGCGACTTCCAGTCAAGCCTCTCACCCCTGATTCAATAGTGACTCTATCTCAACAACCTCCAGGAGAAGAAGAAGAACGTTAACACGCCAATGGTTTCTAGGACTGTTTGATCTTGTACTGCATTATATCAACATATTCAAATTCAAGCCTAAAGAGGATCAACCAATCCTAAACGGGCACAATAAATGTTCTATCGCTATCGTAATAAAGAATCCTTTTCCCTATCCTCGAGAAAGAACATTGACTTACTCACTCGGGCGACTTACAAACCATCGGGTCAGAGGCCCTCTGATTTGTGACATCGTCGCTCTCTGGGTTTAAATAATACCCTTGGTGCATAAATAACTATTATGTATATCTTCTTGCCGCGACAGAAGTCGGAAATCATCATAGCTATTCAGACTTTAGAGATGGCTGCTCTGAAAAGTTCATTTGATGTACATCCGTACCATTTTCTCATTTTGCGCAGTCATGATATTCTACGTCTCCCTATGCTTCTTATTTTTTGAAACTTTTCCTACATAATCTATATAAGCTATAGCTGCTAGTAACTTTATAATGCTGTTTTGATTTTGATTTTCTGTAAGAAGTTCAGATTTGTTATTGGTTAAAATAAACTTAATTCTAGTTTACTGGAATATTTAACATTCGCTTAAAATATAATATTTATGCTAGGTAAAAGAACAGCGGATTTTTGTAAAACGTTATCTTTAATTTGCCTTAGTTTTCCAGAACAATTGGACCATTTATTTTTCCATGCACTACTATGATTTTAAGAAAAAATTGATAATACTGTAGGGTTTTTCTTGTTGTCTAGGGTTTAATAACTATAGGCCACAGGTCGATTCAAATTAGAACAAACACTTTATTATTGAACTCCAAAATTACAGCAATATACAACTAACGTAAACAGTAACTATAACTTAAAATAGGACCGCGGCTTAATAGCAAAAATATAAACGTCTTTTGTCGTACGTCGTTTAGAGATGAGATGCCGTCATATGCATAACAACTCTTCGTCGTGAGTGCTCTACTCACACTGTATACTCGATCACCCGTCGATCTACCATATACAGCGTTTTATGTTTATTAAGCAATGCTACTTAGCTCTGGAATTCGGCTCGCGGTTCGTGATAAAAATGTAATTTAGGAATTGGTAACGGAACTAATTTTTTGTATTAGCTTTATTTAACGACGAATGCAATCCTACAATCGGCCATCCTATTCAGAATCCGAATCGGATTCGCCGCTATCATTGTCAACCCACGGTTTAAGATACCCAGCACACGTGGAAGTTCGCATTGGCATCTCATGCTCACCAATGTTAACAACATTATAACGATCGTTATCTTTGACTTTCATAATCTCGTAAGGACATAAGAACTTTATCTTGAGTTTAAGTCCTGGATCGAACTGGGTTCTTTTTATTGCAACTAAATCTTCCTCCTTATAGATTTCTGCTCATTTTCTTCTTGAATTATACCCCTTTTTGTATTCAGTTTGTACCTTACATATTTGTTCTTTACATATATCTGGAAGTTCTTTTTCTTTCCTTCTTTTTGCTTTCCAGTATACATGTTATACAGTTAGAAATAACATTTTTAACTTTTCTTTTATCTTTGCTATATAAAAGTCTTTAACTATTACTTCCTCAGTTTTTTTCGCAGAAAAAGGTCCTACCTCGTGACTTGTCCGACCGTCCTTCTGCTTTACCAATACTATTGGACTGGCAAAATCTGAACAACTAGGTTTAATTATACCTTCGTTTAAACATTCATTTATCTGCCTGTCTACTTTTTCTTTTTCAGGAACAGATAATCGTCTGGGTCTTTCATAAATTGGTTCCTTGCTTTTTAGGACAATTTTCATTTCAATTTCTGTCGTCTTCGTTTTCTTTGGTTCATAACTTTTCATTAACTGCCTTACAATGTCGCTGTGTTTTTCGTCTTTAATATATACTACTTCTACTTTATCTTTTCCATCAAGCATAATGTGCATAAAAAAGTTTTCGTCCGTCTTCTTGTATATTACTATCCCATCATCTCTTATACTAACAGATGCTTGTTATCTGTCGCAGCAAGATAATATGAAATTGTAGATCAAACTTCTCTTCGTTAACGTCAGCTTGTGTAGAGAATGATCCTAATGTGTTAACTTTCCCATTATGTCCTAAGCCTTTCAAAATGATGGTGTCGGGTGTTAATCAAATATCGTTAAAGAATTTATTGTAAATATCTTCTCTTATCGTACATATATCACTTTCGGCGTCAAATAAAGCTGTTAATGTAATCTGATTAATTGTTAGCATAAACGCCGTTTTTGGCTGAACTTCAATAACATTTAAAGCAGTGTTTTCTATGGTAGCCTTCGTCGAGTTTTTATTCGGACATTTGTTTGAAACACTTGAACACTTTGAAACACTTACACTTGTAGTTCCCTTAGACTTATCTGGGCAATCCTTAGATTTATGAGCTCTACTTCCACAATTAAAACAAGTAATGTTCTTTTTTCTTTTCACGTGGTTTTTCTCTCATTTTTCCTTTCTAACGATGTCTTCGTTTTTCATAAATCCTTCTTTAGTTACTCTAAAGCCTTGAGCTTGTCCAGTAGTTTTCTTACTGTGTATCATCTCATACAGTTTAATTTTCTCCTTAAACTCTGCAAAATTTCTTGCTCCGTATAGTACTAGTTTATTGGATGATTTGTCTTGTATTCCATCAATTTTGTATTGTATAACAACTTCTTGTTATATGTAAGTTCTATTAGCTATTTCTCTCATTTTAATTATATATTCTTGTGCAGTCTCATCAAATTTTTTTCGTGTCGTCATTAACATCTTATGTATGTGCGCACTATTTACCTGTGCTTCGAATTTTTCTATTAAACGTCTCTTCAATTCAGGCCAATTGCTGATACCTTTTTCTGACTGCACAAACAATTTGGCTAGTCCTTTTAAACATTTTTTGCATAGATTAATTTTTGTAGGTTGTTCCACCCTGTTATCTCAGCTACTTCTTCAAATTCGATAATCCACGTGCAAATAGGATATTCGTCTTTTCCATCAAATGATCTTATGCTGTCTTCCATGCTCTAAAATTTAATGCAAATGTTTCCTGTCGTCTTATACCAGTCGCTCCAGTATTCACGAAACTAATTTCAGCGTCATTGCTTGCGCTATAACTTCTTTCTCCAATTTCTTCATGTATGTAAATATATTCGTCATCTCGTATTTCTTCGTATTTTCGTATTTCGTATTTCTTCGTTCATATCTACGTCTTTCATCACATATTTGTCTTCATTCGTCATAATTTCGCCCTTCGCGTCTTCGTCTATCCTCGTCGTTTCTTTTCTCACGTCTTCGTCTTTCTTTTTCTTCAAGTCTTTCGTCTTCCGCATGTCTTTCATCGTCTTCCCGTCTTATTTCTTCTAATCGTCGTTTTTCTTTTTCACCTCTTTCTTCTTGCAATCGTCGTGTTTCTTATTTCAATCGTCGTTTTTAGTCTTTCAGTTTTCTTTTTTGTCTTCCAGTTGTCTTTTTTGTTCCTTTTGTCTTTCGTCTTCTTCGTCTATATCTGATACGTTATCTTCCTCTTCGTCGTCTTCAGTTTCGTCGTTGTTCATGAAGGTGTTCAAAATGGAACAAATACGGACAACCATGTCATGCTTTTCATTTTTATAATTTAAATTAAGAATTTGGTATGCCGCAATTAAAATCAGAAAGTTCAACATGTTCACTTACGTCTTGACATTTACTTAAAAATTGTTCGGAAGTGTCGTCAACCCAAAATCCAGGAAAAGTACGCAAAGCTTTTCTAGTTTTTCGAGGTTCACCGCCAGTGGTAAAACAAATATAATGCAAAATGTTAGCAACTCTCAATTTAGCATGAGTAATATTATAGCCAATATTACCGATAGAACCCAAAGTTGCCATAATAACAAAATGTTTTTTTTAATATTCTCAACAGTATCAAAAATATATATAAAACATGCAAAAAATTCTAATCTTTTTAAAAATGATTATTGTCTTTTAAAAACCATAATAACGCATATTTGTGCTATCAAACCAACATAGATTATCGTTTTCCTAATCTAACAGATATATATATATATATATATATATATATATATATATATATATATATATATATATATATATATATATATATCTTCGACAAAAAATAGTATCAATAAAATTTTTATTATATTTGATTTTATTTCGGAATTCAACTTAAAACTCATAAAAGTTTTTTAAACCGAATATCATAAATGTTCAAATGTATGAAAATGACTTTATTATAGTCAAGAAATTAAATATAGGTCACATAAAAATAGTTCATTCATAAAAGGAACACGTGCGTCTTTACAGATGATTCATCTACTATGCTATTAATAAAATTCTCTATTACATAAACAAAAATAAAGTTTCAAAACACAAATGTCATTGCATACAAATCACGTTATATTCTTTCGTCTTCTTAGTAGAAGGTTGAAAAATAACTCTTACCTTAGCAAATTTTCTTTAATAGTTTTTTAATTCTTTACCATCTTTCAGCGTTTGAGATTTTATCTTCCTTGCTCCTGTTTCTTGTTCTTGGCACATCTACTTGAGTTGGTATTGGTAAACAACGGGTAGTTATGTCGTCATAAACAATCCAATGCAAAACAGTGATTGAGTCTCGTTTTCTGCTATCTGCTATCCGCTATCATTTATCTAATATCTGTTATCCGCTATCTACTATCCCGGTTGAGCCCCCAAAATGTAAGGTTTTCTTGTTGTGTAGGGTTTAATAATTATAAGCCACAGGTCGATTCAAATTAGAACAAACACTTTATTATTGAACTCCAAAATTACAGAAATATACAACTAACGTAAACAGTAACTATAACTGAAAAAAAAAAGGACAGCGGTTTAATAGCAAAAATATGAATACGTCTGTCGTCTTACGTCGTTTAGAGATGAGATGCCGTCATATGCATAACAACTCTTCATCGTGAGTGCTCTACTTACATTGTAAGTAATGCTGCTTAACTCTGGAATTCGGCTCGCGGTTCGTGATAAAAATGGAATTTAGGAATTGGTAACGGAACTAATTTTTTGTATTAAGTTTATTTGACGACGAATGCAATCCTACAATACTTAATAATATTTTATTTAAAATAGGATATAGTTAAATGCTCGAATATATAAATTTTACAAATAAAAGGTACTATTTATGCACAGTTAGTTTATTAAATCTTGCCCACGTACTTTTGCTCTCAAAAAATCTTCGTGAACACCTGAAGTAAGCCAAAAAATGTTTCCTCGCGTGAAAAAAACCTAGCACACTAGTGGATGGTTAAAAAAAGATACAACGTTTTAGACTTATTTCGACAAAATTTGGCTATCCAGCACATCATTGAATGTCATAAATATTTAAATACATCCACTCAAAAACTAATACCAGACATAGGACAAAGAGTTTAAAAATTGTTTGTGTTTTACATTATGACAATGGCAGGAAAAAGAATGGGACATAGACAAATTTATCACTTTATAGACCCAACAAAATTTTTAGGCCCTCCGAAATATAGCAAGCTGCTTACCGGCATCCTTTGGATATGGGTAAACGCTTGTGTTGGTGAATCCTTCGTAACATACTGAAGCAGGTTGATTGTGTAGAAAAGAAAGATGTAGTTTAATGGCTCTCAAGATATCCGATTCCTTAATCTTGCTAGAAAATATTGACTGATTGAATGAGTGGTTAATCTAACTCTTGGTGGGGTATCAATGGTTCCAAAGTATCCTTAAAGTTAATTTGAGAATGAAAAGTATTCTTAGATTTGAAAGATTTGGTGGCCTGCTTGTCTGTGACTATTTTTGTATTTTCCACTTCACTTTTGTTGTTGCTTAAAATGGTAATTGGATTTTCCAAGCTAACGGGACTTCTTCTTCGGACTTATATTTGACTCAAATGAAAGCGTTGGTTCGGAATATGTAGATTTTGTAGACCATTTAATGTTTACACTAGATGGCCAAATTTCCTTATTAAATAATAAGTCAATGGAGGTTTTATATTTTATGCCCATTTTGAATGAGGAAACACCCGCTGTGCTGGCATCTTGAAAGATAACTTCCGTTCTTCTTCTTAGCCTTCTATCGTCAATGTTTGGACACTGCCAACTTCTTCCATCGGTCTCTATCCTGAGCAACATATTTCCAATTTGTTCCGGCTATTCTTTTAATGTCATCAACCCATCTCATCTGTGGTGTTCCTCTTGGTCGTTTACTTTCGTAAGGTCTCCAATGTTGTATTGTAGTATTTCAACGTTGGTCTTTCTGTCTAGCAGTGTGGTCGCAAAGCTCCATTTAAGTTTGGCAATTTTTTTTGTTATGTCCTCGACTTTTGTTTTGGATTTTACTAGTCTTTCCTCTTTTTATCTGACACTCGGTATACCTAACATAGCTCTCTTTATTGTTCTTTCTGTTGTGGCTAGTTTATTCATGTTTGCCTTGGTTAGGGTCCATGTTTGACATCCATATATCATGCTAGGAAGAATGCATTGGTTGAACACTTTGCTCCTCAAGTATTGGTGTATTTTGCGGTTCTTAAGTATCCAACTAAATTTTCCAAATCCTGCCCATACTAGTCTTGCTCTTCTAGTAATTTCCGCACTTTGTTTCTCTTTGTCAAGTCTCAGGATTTGGCCTAGGTAGATATATTTCTGGATTTGTTCTATCTCACTGCCGTTTATAGTTATATGTCTGGGGTCATCCGTGTTTGAGGTGGTTTAACTTGTTGCCATTAACGTTAATGCCATAGGTTGACCAATTTGTAGTTTTGAAGACGTCTTCTACGGCTAGGTTGAAAAGCTTTGGCGATATTACGTCTCCTTGTCTCACTCCTCTCCTCTGAAAGAGAACATAACATCTAATATATTCCTTGAACCCAGCTTCCCTTTAATACAGTGAACAACTTGTATAGGGGTGTACATTGGAGTTAGGTTGGTAATAACTACATAATGGCATTTAGTTTCTGTAACTTTTGGCTTTTCCTCTGTTGATTCGAAATGTTAAGGGACTTTAGTTTGGGTACCTGTGGTGGCATTAAATGTATTTTTCTTCAATACTTCTTTTTCGTTTGTGTAGTAGATAATTTATTTGTAAGATTACCCATTTGATTAGATATTTCACTGATGTTTGAAGAAAGCCTTTCTATCCTTTTCTTAATATCAGTTAAATTTGAGTCTTGAATTTGAACCCTGATAGTGTCATCAGCGCAGCCAAAAAAAACTGACGATACATTAAAATTATCTTGTTTCATCTGCCTTATAGATTTTAAAACATTGTCAGGATTTAGCAGGTTATTAATTTTATAGGTTTCATTAATTTTTTTGTAAGATAGTCCAGTTTTAAAGCTTTCTAAAGGTATTTGATTTTTTGAAAAATCATTTTTTCATTTAAATATTTTAAGCTTGGTGAGTCACACAATCTACAAAATAATCTTAGATGGGAAAATTTTTGGTCCAAGAGTGCTTTTGCGGTCGTTTTATTAAGCCCAGAGCATTTCATACAAAAATTTCTGCAACAATCCCCACTGCAACGTAATTTTTTATATTTGTCGGTTTCGGCGAATTCTGTAAAGCAGTTCTCGCAAATGTAGCTCATGGTCTAAAGTTAAATTTGCAATATTTAACTAGGTCGGTAAATTAAACGAAACAATATTTATTTAGATGAGACTTGCTATGATACTCATGACATCATGAGAAAAAGTTGGACAAATAATAACAAAAAGTGTTTTAACTCAGTACCGCCCAATAAAGGAAAGATGAATATAATTTTACACTGGGGTGGAGAAAATCGATGGATTGACGACGCATTATTATTATCTGCAAAACAAATTAAAGACGCATCTGTGGATTATCATGACGATATGAAAAGTTCATTAATTACTATTTAACTGGGAATAAGCCACAATTAAAGATAAAAATACGTTTATTGACGTTTCAATTTCCACTTCGGAAATCGTTCCGAACGATTTCCAAAGTGGAAATTGAAACGTCAATAAACGTATTTTTATCTTTAATTGTGGCTTATTCCCAGTTTAGTAGTAATTAATTTACAATGCCACAAGAAAATAGCTTCAGAACAATGAAAAGTTCAGTTTTCAAGTCATAGTTTGAAAATACCTTCTTCCGAAATTACCTAAACATAGTGTGATTTTCATGGACAATGCATCATATTATTTAATATTATTGAAAAAAAAACTCCAAATAAGTTGGAATAAATTATAAATTTAAAAATTTTTATTTACGGAAGATTTGTATTTTGAAGCATTATATACTAAAAAGCAATTGTTGGAGGTTGGTCATAGTAGATAGTACGAAAAGGAATATGTTATTGACAACTATGCTCCTAGTAATGGGCATACTGTGCTTATACTTCCTCCTTATTATTGTACATTGAACCCAATAGATTTAATATGGGCTCAATTTAAAGGAAATAGACGGAGAAGAAACGGTACTCCTAAATTTTCGTCTACTGTTCTCCAGTTAATTAAAAGGGAAGTCACAAAAATCACAGCAACCAATTGGATAAATGTAATTAAACATGTGATCGGAGTGGAAAATGACTATGTGTTTACCAGCATTAACCAAATTAACTATAAATTTAGATGATATGAGTGATAATAGTGATAACAGTTACTCTGAGTAGATAGTAACTTAATTCGAATTAGGTGTTAGTTGAAACC